CACATGACTTTTAAATCCTCCAGGGATGGGGATTCCACCCCTGAACTGGGCAGGACAACTCTTTTTCAGTGAAGACATTTTCCCTAATACCCTAATTTTCCCACCTTGGTCGTGATCCAGTGTAAATGGATGGTGCTTTTCAGGGTCTGGGGAGGAAGGAAGCCACACGTTGCCTTTGTTTGAAGCAGCAGGAACAGGGGGAAAGGCAAGTGCCTGCTTGGGGTGGAAAGGAGAGGACAGTTGTTGTCTTGGGGCTGCAACATTCCCATGCTAAACCTCGAAATACTGCATATGTGTGGCTCAGAAGAGACCTGCTTCACTTCACCTGGAGATTTTGGTGGTGAATCCCAGTGAAACCAGTGCTGAGCATCCCTCAGGGGACAGGGGAACCTGGAGACATCTCTGTCCTTAGACTGAGACCCAGTGAGCTCCTTGCAGATCATGCTGGGGAGATCCTGGTGTCCCTGGGGGGGTGTTTGGATGCAGAGGGTCCGGGGAGCTGCAGCTGGGTGGTGCCACTGCTCCAGCATGGCAGGGAGGATGAGATTCCCTATCAACTTAAGAGGAGAACAAAGCCTAGGGATAAAAATCACCCCAAAGCTCTCCCTTCTTGCTGCTCTCCCAGCCGTGTTTGATTTCCCATTTTGGGAACCGCACTGGGAGGTACCGAGTTGCAAAAGCACAACTGCCAGACCCCTCCAAGAGAGAAAAACGAGCCAGTATAGGGGAAGAGCTTGAAAACTTCCCAAATAAGTCAGGAGCGGGTAGATACACTCAGTATTTCTTTTTCCCTCTCTGCCACGGCTGGTCCTTCTCCAAGGAAATTAAATAAGTCCCAGCTCAGTGGTTCCTGTTGCTGTATCTTTCTTAATATTCCCCAAAGGTTCCCTTTTTTTCTCTGTGAAATACTAAAAATGAGTGAACTGGTGGCGAGTGTGGAAGCATCCAGGCAGCCCCTCCTTGGTTCTGTCTTTCCTCCAGCACAGACGTAACCTGCCAGCAGAGGCATTTTTATATTAAAGCACTTCTTATTAATTCCCCCCTCCCTCCCCCCGTGTCTCCCCTGGGTGTTTAGTGCTGGCTATCACCATGGAATCGGAGCTGGCTCCCCATAAATCCATAGAGCGGGCGAGTAACGAGCTTCCCGGGCTCTGGCATTTGTCACTTTGGGGGGTTCCCATGAGCCTGTTGGATCTCAGAGGTGTTTCTGGGGGTGGTGGGGCAGGGGGGAGGAAAGCCCAGAGCACTGGAGAGCAACAGCAGCCAGCCCTTCCATTGGCTTGGGAGGGATCCCTGCTCCAGGCCAGGATCCCTGCTCCAGGCCAGGCTGGGGTTGCAACCCTGGGGAAATGTTGGCCAGTGATGTCAAGGTGGTGGCCACCAGTGTAGAGGTGTTGGCCACCAGTGTAGAGACCATGGGTGTCAGTGTAGCGGTGGTGGCCACCAGTGTAGAGGTGGTGGCCATCAGTGTAGAAGCAATGGCCATCAATGTGGAGGTGATGGCCATCAATGCAGAGGTGGTGGCCACCAATGTAGAGGTGACGGCCACTAGTGGAGAGGTGATGGGCACCATTTCAGAGGTGGTGGCCATTAGTATAGAGGTGTTGGCCATCAATGTAGAGTCAATGGCCATCAGTTTGAAGGTGGTGGCCACCACTGTAGCGGTGGTGGCCAACAGGGTAGAGGTGATGGCCAGCAATGTGGAGGCAATGACCAGCAGTGTAGAGGTGATGGCCACCAGTGGATAGGTGATGGCCATTAGTGCAGAGGTGATGGCCACCAATTGTACAAGCGATGGCCATCAATGTAGAGGTGTTGGCCACCAGTGCAGAGGTGATGGCCGTCAGTGTTGCAGAGCAGGGATGGAATGTTGCATCCACAGTGGATGGATGGGGCTGTGTTCACGCCGAACAGCAAGAACACCAAGAGGCAGCGCTCCAGCTCCCTCCCGGATTGTTCCTCTGCGAGTCGCCTTGGCTTTGCTCCCGTTGCTGATGCCTTCAGCCCACGTTGGGAAATGCAGAGTGTTTATAAAGCAATTTGGGATTTGGCTTGCTTGGCTGAACACTTCAGAAACTCATTTTGAGTAGAGAGTTGCATCTGCAGTGGGGTGAGGCTGGGACTGCCCTGGCGCCGGGGAGGGCTGCGGGCTGTGCCAGTGCCGTGGCTCGTGGTGGACCAGGACCTTTGCATCTCTCTGAGCCACCTGGACAGGCTGTCCCTGCTTCCCCTCAGCTCTGGATGGGGTTTGATCACTGCACGGCACCGGGGCATGTGCCATCAACCTGCCTGCTCTGCCGACAGGTGGGACGGAGAAGTTCAGGAGGAGAGCACAAGTGTTCCTTCATGAGTGCGCGCTTCAGCGGTGAATGAACAGCCATCCGCCTCGCGATGCAAATCACCTGCCTTTGTCTGCGGCGCCAAGCGTGGGCGGTCTGCGGCCCTGCCATCCTCAGCCTGCCGATGGTGCCTCAATGCCCCCGTGGAGCGCAGAGCTCTCCCAGCGGGAAGGCGGGAGATGATTCCCGTGCCCCGCGCTTTGTTCCTGCCGCTTGCACCCGAATGGGGAGCGATTGAACGGCAGGCGAGGAACAAGGGGAAGCGAAATTGTTGGGCTCTGCCGTGAAAAGGTTCTGCAGGTGGTGGCTGAATGGGCTCAGGTGCTGCATAATAGGTATCAACCGGCCTTTATCTCTGTGCTGGCAGCTCCTTATCCGGCAAGAGAACTCCGCTGTGCCGGTCGCTGGTTGAATCAGTTCGGAGCGGTTATTCATTGAGGGGAGGAGAGAAGCACCTGGGCTGCCTGGGAGGCTCTCCCAGGGTCTGAGGAGCAGTGGTGACATGTCCCATGTGCTGGTACCACCACCCCTCCTGGGGATGAGTGGTAGCCGCTCTCTTTGTGCCAGGGCTTGTGCTGGCTCCATCCGCTGCCTCCTTTAATGCCATCCCTCTGGAAATGAAGTGGAGAGATGGGAATCTCGTCAGTCAAGAGCTGCAGGCTCTGCTCTCAGGGTTATCTCAGCAGCTCAGATAGGCAGAAATTTGAGGATTTTCCTCTAAACAACCCTTTGCCAGGAAAACAGCTGATCTTAACTCACTTTAGGGCCGAAATCAAGCCCGGTCCCAGCGCTAATCCACTCACAGTATTTACAATGTCAATTTGGGACCAATTCAGGCCATGAGCAATTCACTGTAATGGGTTTCTCTGGGGGAAAACAAGCCTTTGCCAGGGAATGGGGAGGGCTGGGGGAACTCCTTTGTGTGCAGATAGGTCGTGGAGGTGGCTGTTGTGTAGCAGAGCTTAAAACTTCTCAGGTTGATGTGCAGAAAAACACACTGTAATGGAAGGAGAGTTTGTGCCTGTCGTTACTTTGCAACCTTTAATTCTGGTTGCAGAAACCCGAAGGGTTTTATCGCTGATTTCCAAGTAGGAGTTTGAGTGCTTGGATCCTAATCTTCAGCAAATTCACATTTGACTGCAGCCGAGCTATTGCAGAAGATAGGGAGTGACGGGTTTAGAGAGAGATCGTGTTTGGAATTGCGGTTGCCTTCGCTCTGTGTCCAGCTGGGCTGCTCAGGGACGTGCTGAGACACCTGACCAGGGAAAACCATCCCTGAGGAGGTTGCTCCTGCCCTAAAATCCCCACCACTTGTGTCCAGCAACGCTATTTCCAACATAGCCGGTGATGAAATATGTTGGAGGGTGCTGTTGTCTTTCCAAAACCCAGGAGATTATGGGGCTGGTCCCGTTCCTGCTTTGCTGCTTGACCTGAAAATTGTGCTCTCTGCCCACGGAGGGACGTGGAGCTTTTGGCTCGGGAGCAAGAGGGACCTTTGTGCTGATGAGCTTCTGAAGTTTGGGTTTCTTCTGGGTTTTGTAGACTCGTGGGATAGTTTGGGTGGGAAGGGACCTTAAAGCTCATCTCATCCCACCCCCTGCCACGGGCAGGGACACCTTCCACTAGCCCAGGTTGCTCCCAGCCCTGTCCAACCCTGCCTGGTGTCCCTGCCCACGGCAGGGAGCTGGAACTCTAAGGTCCCTCCCAACCCAAACCATTCTATGATTCTATTCCATGATTCTTTTCATCCCAAAAGGACAGAACCTGTTATTTTCCAGGGGCCAAATCCAGCCCCGTGCTTGGTGTTCCCGGGGCCGCAGGAACCGGGAGCGGGCAGAGCGGCGGAGCCGAGCTGCGGATGCAGCTGGGGGAGAGCAGAGGAATTAAACCCTGTAACTTTTAATTTAGGAACTAGAACAGAATCAAATTAACACCTGCGGGTGCTGAAGGCTCTCTAACGAGATGTGTGTCGGGGACTTGATTTCCCAGGCACAGGTATCCAGTCTCATCCTTCCAAAGTTGCCTGTAATGAGCGTGGGTGGATATGGAAAAGCAAAAAAAGTCCTTTTTTTTTGTGGGCGGGAGTCGAGGCAGCATCCACCCACGGACTCCATTATGATATTCAAATGTCAATATATTTTTAATTGGTTTATATCCCCACCACCACCCCTCCCCCCTCCATCCAGCTGCCTTTGGTAATTAAGGCTCTGTAAATAGATTTTACAGTAATTGGTACGAGAAGGAAAATTGGAGGACATTGTACAGTGCATTGGGTTGGGTTGTTCTTTTTTTTTTCCTTTTCTCCCCCTGCCTGTCTTTCCTCTTTTGACTCATGTTACATCTGTGAGCATTGTATCCTCTGGGGGAAGGGGCGGGGAGCCGTGGCCAGTTTTGCACAAAAACTCTGGAGCGAGAGGACCAGGTGGTTTGCTGATGGTTGGGACAGGGGGAAGAGCCAGGAACCAGCCCAGGATACCCCTTACGGTGCTCCAGGGCCAAACTGGGGAGACCCCTAAACTCCACGCTGGATTCCATCTGCCTTGAGACGTGGCCAAAGCTCTTGTGATTGTTTATAATTCCCAGCCGCTGCCTTTTGTCACTTGGGGGTGTTTCTTAATCTAAACTGTGGGGTTTTCTCTTTCCCTTCTCCCATTCTTTCAGCCTGTGTAAAGGACGGACTCTCTACTCGGTGGTGAGAGACGCCAAAATCGTCCTGGATGTCAACAAGACGAGGCAGATAGCACAAGAGATTGTGAAGGTACCGTGTGGTGGGGGCAGCCCGGCACTGGGGGTGGTCTGGATCCAGCCCAGATCCCGGGGGGATCACCCTGGGGAGTGGGAGAGAAGCAGCCAAGGATTCTGGGCAGGATGGTCCTGCTTGGCTCTAAAATCCAGGTCTCTTCGACCTCCCTCATGTGCTTTGTGTGGCACCAAGGCTTCCATGGGGTCCCCATGACTGGGGCTCATCCCTGTCACTGCTCCTCTTCCCTCTTGGAAGTGCAGGTGCTGGAGCCCAGCTTTGCTCTGGGAATGAGTTGCTGGTTGGATATTCCTCTCCTCTTGTGAATGAAAAAAAAAAAAAAGTAATAGTCACAGAATTCCAGAATGGTTTGAGTGGGAAGGGACCTTAAATCTCATCCCATCCCACCCACCCCCTGTCATGGGCAGGAACACCTTCCGCTTGCCCAGGTTGCTCCAAGCCCCTTCCAACCTGGCCTTGGACACTTCCAAGGATCCAGGGGCAGCCACTCTCCTGGCCACATGCTGTTAATAATCTGCTGGTGGCCTGAGGTTTCCACATCTCCATAGCAAAGGCATTCCCAGAGCCAGGGCTCCTGGAGTGTTGGTGGCAGGATGCTGTGGTGCCACGAGGCAGAGCACACGTACATTTTTGAGATCTGAAAAGGTTTATCCTCTCCTAGAGATGACTCAGAGAGCATCTCTGACACTTCAGACGTGACACTGGGGAGGATCCTCACATGGCAGGCTGGAGTGGCTGGGAATTTGGGTCCTGAGCCATCACAGCTTTCCAGAGGGTGTCTGCAGCGGCCCCTGTGCCCGAGAGGTGTTGAGCTGTCTGCCAGAGTTGGGTTGTGCTGTGGTTCCAAACCTGTTTATCACCAAATGATACCAAAAGTATTTGGCACCTGTCCCACCCTGTGCCCTGCTCAAGGTCAGCCAACACCTCCACCTCAGAGCCCAAATCACCTGGGGCTGAGCTCACATTTAACATATTTCTGGGGAGGGAGAGGGGGGGAAATAAGGTTTTCTGGCAGATCTTCACCCCCCTTAAATATTCAAATCTGTGTTATAAACCACGGGCTCTGCAGTAGATCCTGGATGGTGCGGTCCCCTGGACGGTGCTTAGGCTGGCTCTGATTGCCTGTTTTGCATTTATTCACACCCAGATTCAGCAGAGAGCATATTGTTTCTAAGCTTTTTAATTTCGATTCCTCAGAGTCTCCTGAAGTCCCTGGGCAGGAGCTGACAGAATGAACCCCTTTGCTAAGCCAAGCACTACAAGGGGTGTCTTGGAGCCACGGCCTGAACTGGGGGTGTCTGAGGCACCAAGGGCCTCTCTCCTCTTAATTTTATTTTTTATATTTTCCATTTTTAGATCAGGATTTTTCCCCACTGAGGAAACACATAGTTCAGCCTCATATTTTTTTCCCCTGACTCGTGCTCAGGGTTCTCACCTCCCGGGTGTTCCCAGAGGGAGATTCTGGCTCAGTTGAGCCCCTTTCTCTGGGCAGGTTCATTGCTTGGTGTGGGTTTTGAGGAGGAGAAGAGTGTTGTCCTGCAGCTGGTGTGTGATAGGAACAGCTTTGGCAACCTCAAACTCCCCGTGGGGTCGAGAGGCACCACCACCACAGTGGAGAACATCAGCAACATCATCACTGTGAAGCAAATCAGCACGACCACGTGTGGACCTGGTTCCACCCCCGGCAGCATCCCTGCGTCCCTGCATTCCTTCTCCTTGCAAGGATGGGATTGGGTGCTCCTGTTTCAACCCACTGCAGGGCACGGGGACTTTGTATCTGCCCCAGGTCCCCGGAGGAGTCAGCAGAGGTCCAAAGGCTCAGCTGGGGGCTCAGTCCGTGCTCTCCCTGTGCACCGGAGGGAATTTAAGACAGAGGGAATTCAGGACTGGCTCAGTAACAGTCGTTTTGTTGCAGAAATAATTCTGAGAGAATTTCTGAGGCCTGTCACTAGAGAATGACTTCTTGGTTTGGAGACCTAGATCAGCATGGTCACACGTTCAGTCCTATCTTTCTGTGCAAAAACTGAGGGAATTTAAGGCAGGAGAAGTCCATGACAGCCCTGTCACTGTGCTGTGACCCAACCACGTGGCCTGGTTGTTGCTGCCAAAGCTTCCCGGCCTTCCCACCTCTCCACCCCAACTTCCAGCAGATATTAAGAATGTTTTGGTGGCCCTGGAGGTGACGGGTGTGGAGAAGCAAAGGAAAACCCCAACCCCTTGGTTTGGGTGGGCTTGGGGCTGCATTGCCCACACGAGCTGGAGGCTTTGGCTCTGCCGCCCCATCACAGCAGTTGTTTGACTTTATCCTTTGAATCCTGCTATGTGATGGAAGAGCTGTTAAGCTGATTGGATTAGTGCGTGCAGGGGCTCTCCTTATCCCGGGATTCTCCAGAGGCGAGAGTGGAATTATCCAGGGATGGATGCCGGCAGAGGGAGCTGCCTTTTCACACACGCCTGGCAGCCGAGCAAACGAAGGCATTCCTGGGCCCAGAGTGTTTTCTCATGGATCATCCCCGGGGGGTGAAGGTGGCAGGGCTGGAATTTGCAGTTGGATCTCCCTGGAGCAAGGTGAGGGATTTGGGGTTGGCTCAAGAAATGCCTTCAGCAAAGGCCTGACTGTGCCTGGGGCTCACATGGAGATGAGTTCCCACCCGATCTGGGTGAACATGGCAGCAAAGTCCCTGCTGCTGCTCTGTGATCCCACCACCCTCAGCCCCTGGGAGCATCCCCATGGAACTGGGACCCATCCTGCCCCACGGCTGCTCCTTGCAGGAGGAACCTTGGAATGCTGCCCCTCGCTCAACCCTGGCACTTTGTGAAGGTGACGGTGACATTTGAGAGCAGATTTTTAAATCTCATCATTATTTCATGTGCTGGGAACTGGAGACCCCTAATTAATCCCGGTGCCTGGAATGGTCCTGACATCCAGCTGCAGCTGGAGTATCTCAGAGCCAGCCACAGCCCTGGATCCTTTCCTTCCTCCAGCATCCCTTGGCAGAGGCCCTTCAGGATTTGACTGCCACGGGGTCCAGTGAAACCCCCGTACCTTGCTGGGTTGGGGCGTTTTCAGTTCGCCTTCCCAGTTTTCCCAGATGGCAGAATTTGGATCGCGTCTTGCAGCTCCACATCAGCCACCAGCTTAAAAAATATGTTCTTCTTCCCCAGCCTGCATGGTTAATGGTGATAGATGAAAAGATCAGGCCTAGGATGGATGGATCCCTGTGGAAACCCAGTTAATAAATCCCCCTCTCCGGTGACAGACAAGCGATAACTCGCTCTTGAGCAACAGTTTGCCGGCCTGTTGGGCATTGATCCTCCTCTACGTCGAGTTTTCCCTCAGTTCTGCTTGTGAGAGTGAAAAGTGGGCCAGCAACAGAATCCCCGAGGAAGGCAGGATAAATGTCTTTTATCCCCCTCCCCGTTCCCAGAGCCGGTTGCCCCGTGGAGCTGAACATCCGCCACGCGGAGCTGCCGGCAGTCGGCTTGATTTGCCGGCGCTGAACCAGCCCCGGTGCAGGAGCGCTCGGATTTCCCACCCGTGGCCCTTTTTTTTTTTTTTTTTTTTTTTGCATCATTAGCAATAATTTTAATTAACCGCCGAGTCGTTTTTTCCTGGGGGAAGGGAATTAAGGCGAGGACTCCTGCGAGGAGCTCGTTTCCAGGCGGATGGGGCCGGTGTGCGCGTCGGAAGCCCCCGAACGGCTCAGCCGGGGCGTTGCGACAGAGAGCGTTGACTTATTACCCTCCTCTCCCAGCCCCGAAAGGGAACGGGGGCGAAAACATCATCATCATCAATTTCCCAGCGGAGCATTTCGGGGAAGTGGCTGCTGCTTTGGTTTGCTGCTAATTTTTCTCGCGTAATCAATTAATCAGGAAGATGAGTCGCAGCCGAGACACCCACACCGGCGAGCGCCACACGATGCTCATCCCCAGCCAGGGATCCCTCCAGACACCTGCTCTTCCTGCCAGGGGTATTTTGGGATGTGCAGCCTCTGGGGTTCACCTTAGGGGTGCTCATACCCCGGCTCTCCCTTGGGGCTCCCCCTGCCTGGGTGTTATCCTCTGGGTTGGTGCTGCCTTTTTAAATTTTGGGGTATTTTGCTCTCTCTTCCCTCCTAGGGAATGGGTTACCTGCACGCCAAGGGGATCCTCCACAAGGACCTCAAGTCAAAGAATGTTTTCTATGACAATGGGAAGGTGGTGATCACCGACTTCGGCCTCTTCAGCATCTCGGGAGTTCTCCAGGCGGGCAGGTAGGACATGGCGTGGGAGAGACACTGGAGTTCTTCTCCATGCCCTGTTGAGCTGGGCACTTCGGGAAAGAGCCCCAAAAACCCTTCTGTGCCTTTCTGTGCCTGCAGCCTTGGCAGATGAGCGTTCCAGGTGCCTTTGAGTGCCCTGGGGCTGTTCAAAGCTGGTTGGAGTTGGTCCCTAGGAAGGAGCACGATGCTGCGTGGCAGCCTCTGCGTCAGAGAGGCACGTTGTGTCTCTTGGACCCAACCTCTTCCCATGGGATGCATCATTTCCATGGCCAAACCACCCTGCAGCCATCCTGGGGATGCTCCTCAGGCTCTGTTTCTCCGTGGCAGGTTCATCCTTTGGCCTTTCCCTAACATATCATTAAAAATCCCTGGAATCTGCTTCATCTCCAGCCTGGGTCAAGTGGTTCCATCCCTGTGCTGTCCTTTTGCTGCTCTGGTGACATTTTGGGTGGCACAAACATCTGGCCATGGTGTCTGTGCCGAGCACAGAGCAGCACACAGACAAAATGAGAGCCAAGCTTGGGACATTTGCAGCACTGTGACATTTTTGGGTTCTCCGAGGGTTTAAATCCAAACCATTTGGTAAATGTTCCTTATGAAATTTCCTTGTCCCAGTGCTCTGGGAGGTTTTCCAGCTGTAGGCATGGCAGGGCAAAGGGTTTCAGCAGTTGGGGGAAGGAGGAAAAGCAAAGCTCAGGGGAAAGAAAATAGAAGATAAGAGCATTGCTGACTTTTCCCACCTTTGTCACCAAACCCTTCGTGTCAGCAGCAGTACAGGCAGGTTTCCTCTGGCAGCACCTCCTGGTCCTTCCAGCCTCCATCATCCCATGTGATGGGGTGTCCCTGGAGAGGTTGTTGAGGCTGGTCATCACTTTATGGTGCTTAGGAGATAAAAACCACCTTGGAAATCATATGTATTTTTTCCCCTAGTTCCCTAGTCCAAGGATTTTAGAGGAGAAGGTGGTGGCTGATTCTCTCCATGCCCCTCTGCTCATGGTGAATGGGCAGCCAGGCCTCCCATTCTGCCTGCACAAATATCATCTGGTTTGGCACAGACTTAGCCAAAAGCTTTGGGAATCCAAGAAACCCCATCCAGAGTGGGGTTTTTTGCCTCTGGTTTAGCAGCTGAGCAGGAGGGTTGGGGCTCAGGTCCTGCCAGCATGGAGGCACAGCTTGTTCTGGCAGCGGGAAGAGGATTTGGGTTAAAATGTCCAAGCTTTGCCAGGAATCTTTGCTGTGAAGAAAGTCAGAGATGCTCTTGAGGGGAAATGAGAGGTGAAATGCTGGGGGAATGGGGTAGAGGATGAGGTGGGCAATGCGTGGCCATCCCTGCTCAAGCCTGGGGTGTCACTTGAGGGGGGATTACTCCAGGGCAGGAAGGATGGGCAGAAAAGCAAGGCTGGACAGAAAATGAGCAGTGTTTTGATAGAAAAATTGAGAGAATGAGAAAATTCCTGCCCTGAGGAGCTCCCAGCATGGCTGTGGGTGGAACATGTTTTCTGCTGGGGTAGAGCTGAGAGAAGACTCTTCAAACACCACAGATTTTGAAGCAGCAAATGTCTGCAGATCACCTTTCCAGGGTGGTTTTTTTGCTGGTTCCAGTTTCTCTCAGAAGAAGAAAAGTAGTGAAGCCAAATTTTGGGTCTTTGGAGGTTTGGACAAAGGTGTGTGGAGAAGGCAGGAAATTCTGGAGGTCAGGTTAAGGGTGGTGACATTCCAGCTGTGAATGAACTACAGACCAGCCTGGTTTAAAGGGTTAAAACACTTTCTGCAGTGACCTGGTGATCTGGTGGCTCATCCTGGTGAAATCAGATTTATTTCTCCATTGTTTAAATGTTCCTGGGCTCGGGAGGGGCTGATCTCTGATTAGGAGGAGCGTGAGGTGGGTTTCGAGGAGTCTGCTCTTGCTTTGCCTTGGGGGTGACTTGTCCTTGGTGGGTTCAGAAGGTGCTCAGCTGGTTGGGCTCCTCCTGCTCGTGGCAGTGGCAACTTTTGTCATAAAACCTGAAATCCCAGCAATCAGAACACCCTTGGGATCACATTAAAGCTCAGCCCCCGTTGCTGGAGGCTCAGAACCCCCAGCTGAGTGCTCAGATGGAGCTCTGCAGAGGGATGAACGGGATCACATAGAGCTGTGGATCCAAACCCCATCCCTGGAGCATCCCAAGGCAAGCCTGAACGCTGCTCGTGGGATATCACAGCCCTGAGCTGCTTAAATGAGCGCAAATAAAAGCTCCAGGAGCAGAGCTGGCCTTGCTGAGGGCGGTGGAGCAGATCCAAGTGCTGCCCACTCCATCCTGCTCCCCGCTGCCTGCCCGGGGCGGAGATGGCACACACCGGGAAGGGCGAGGGAGCTCCTCCACATCCTCCCTAATTGCCCAGGTGCTTAATGCTGGCTTGTAATTAAGAGCTGTGTGGGCTGGAGGATGGTGGGGAGTGGTTAGGGGGGAGCTGAAAGCCTCCCCTCTGTGCCTAAGTGCTCTTTTCCCAGCGGCTCCTGGGGCCGGAGGGTCCGTGTCTTGCCAGAGCCGCTGATTGTGGCCGTGGCTCCATCACAGTGGGGGGAAAAGGAGCCTCCAGACCCCACAGGAGGAAAGGAGACCTAATCAGTGATTCCCTGCACCATCAGTGTCCTTCCCTAAGGAGGGGGTTCCTCCTCTGGTCACTGAAAGATTTATAGGGGATGCCTTCGAGATGGGGATGCCTTTGGAGACAGGAGGATCTGGCCGTGTGGGAAAAGCCAGCCAAGGAATCAGCAGCTGTGGTGGAAGTTTTGTCCTGCCCCTGTGCCTGGGTGGTGTCCCTTGCTGCTCTGGGATTTTGGCCCCAGCAGGACAGATGTCCCCCCAGCCATCTTTGTCCTTGTGCATCCCTGTTTTTAGGAGGGGTCCAAAGCACAAACAGGGAGAAATTCCCGATAGAGGCTCTTCCTTCTCCATCCCAACATGACATGGGACAGTTTTTGTTACCTCCTGCTGCTGAATTCGGGCTCAGACACAGGGTCAAGCTGCTTAATGTGTCACCACCAGCAGCAATTCCTGCCTGTTTCCCTGCCCAGGGACGTTTCTGAGCCAGTGGTGCATCCTGGAGGATGTAAAGGATGAAGGAGCAACCAACATCACCCTCAGCTGTTGGCCAAAGGAGCCTCATGTGTTTGTACCGAGCAGGGGGAGCTCGAGGAGGTGGAGGAAAGACAGCTGAGGGACTTTCAATAAAGCCAGGCTGCTCCCATGAGTGATGACATCACAGGCTTGGACATGAGGATGGGGCCGTTTGGGGGCCAAACACCTGAAAACACCCATTTCCTGGCGATTATTTTAGGGTGGGTTTTGCTCATGGTCCCCAATTAAGGGGAGGTTCTAATTTTGAGTGAAACTCTCCCTAAATCTGCAGATCCTCCTGTTTGAGTTAGTGGATCAGGGTGGCTCCAGCCAGCAGGATCTGGAGCATCCTGGGCATGCCAGCCTGGCATCATCTGTCCCCTGCATCCTCCTGGGGTGGTACCAGCGAGGAAGTGTTTGGATGTGGCATGGGGATTTGGGGGATTGGGGACACAGGTCTGGGAATCCCTGGACACCCTTGTTCTCCCAAAATCACAAAACCCTCCTGCTTTGGCTATGGACAAGGGTGGCTTTAGGTGGGTGTGGAGAATCCCAGTTTAGGATGGGTTTGCTCGGTGGTCCCCAGTGCAACACCCTGCAGGGCCAGCTCGGGTGTTTGGGTGCAACAAGAGCCCTGTCAGACCCTACATCCCCATCACCAGCTCCAAAGCTCCCCCTCACCACCATCCCGTGCCCAAATTTTGCCCTGCTGCCTGGCAGGGGTAAATGCACGGCCGTCGTGCCGACGTTTCCCAGAGCAGGGTTAAAACCTGACTTTGCAGGGATGACAAAGAGAAAACCATTGGGGAGAGGGTGGGAGGGCTGCTTGGCAGTGGTGCTGTGCCCTCCGTGGTACCCCTGTCTCTGTGTTTTGGCAGGAGGGAGAACAAGCTGCGGATCCAGAACGGCTGGTTGTGCCACCTCGCCCCCGAGATCATCCGCCAGCTGTCCCCGGACACCGAGGAGGACAAGCTGCCCTTCTCCAAGCACTCGGATGTCTTTGCACTGGGGTGAGCCCTGTGGCAGGCTGGGCAGGGGGGCTGCAGGGAGTGCTGGGGTTGGGTCAGGTGTGAGCTGCTCTGACAGCCGGGAGGGGACAGGGACAATGTTTGCTTGTCCCAAAGCCGAGGGGACGCTGCCTGTGGGAATCCCCCCAGGCTGGGCTGGGAGCACCTTCCTGCTTCCAGACATTTGGAGTGAAACCCTCCCTACACCATCAAATCCTCCTGGTTTGGCTGTGGACCAGGATGGCTCTGGACAATGGGATCCAGAGTATCCTGGGAGTGCCAGCCTGGCATCATCTCTCCCCGGCATCCTCCTGGGGCGGGTGCCAACAAAAAGTGCTTGGATGTCAGCTGAGGATGCAGAGGGTGGAGGACACAGCTCTGGGAATCCCTGGACACTCTCAATCATCCCTAAATCACCAAATCCCTCTGTTTTGGCTACGGACCAGGGTGGCTCTGGGCAACGGGATCCAGAGCAAATAGGTGCTTGGACATTGGATTGGGATGCAGGGGATATAGGGCACAGGTCTGGGAGCTCCTAGACAGCCTGACTCTCCCTAAGTCACCAAATAATCCTGTTTTGGTGATGGAGCAGGCTGGCTCCAGGCAACAGGATCCAAAGCATCCTGGGAATGTCAGCTTGGTGTCATCTCTCCCTGCATCTCTTGGGATGGGTATGGATGAGAGGGTGCTTGGATGTTGGCTGGGGATGCAGGGCTGAGAGCCCCTGGACACTCCAATTCTCCCTAAATCATCAAATCCTCCTGTTTTGGTTATGGATGGCTCTGGGCAACAGGATCTGGAGCAACTTGGGGATGCCAGCCTGGCATCATCTCTCCTCTGCATCCTACAGGAGTGGGTACCAACAAAAAGGTGCTTGGATGTCAGCTGAGGATGCAGAGGATTCGGGATGCAGGGCTGGGAGCCCCTGGACACCCCAATTCTCCCTAAATGCCAAATCCTCCTTATTTGACTATGGATTAGGGTGGCTCTGGACATCCTGGGGATGCCAGCCTGGCATCACCTCTCTCCTGCATCTTCCAGAGGCACAAGAAGGCGCTTGGATATCGAATGGGGATGCCCAAGCTGGGAACACAGGTCTGGGAGCTGCTGGACTCCCAGATTTTCCCCACCAGCCAGGTGCAGGGCGGGGGATGGTGGTGCCTGTGCTGCCAAAAGGAGAGGCCAAAAGGCCAAGAAAAGGAGAATTCCTGAGTCTCCCTCAGCCCCCCAGTTCATTACTCCTGCCCTTTATCTGCCCACAGACCTGCCTTTGGGCAGGAGCCCAATCCCACCCCGATAAGCCCCTCGGATTTTACCATGGGGATTAATTTTCTCACGGATACCTTAAAGGCTGGGGGGGATTAGGGTGCGTGGGCCCGTTGCAGGAGGTGATATTTCCCTCAAACCCAAGAGTAATTACAGCCAAAAGGGTCTGCTTGGGTTTTTTTTTTTTTCTTTGCCCTCCCCGAGGTACAACTTGGGCACAAGAATAAAGAAGGAATTAAGGGATCGTGTGGAACTGAGCGAGAGGGGGTTGCTGAGCCTCGGTTTGCTCCTTTTCTCCTCAAGTGTGAGCTCTGCCCGTGTGTAAAGCACGAGTTTCCTTAAAAGATTAAATGGTTTTCCCACGTTTTTCCTCTTTTTTTTTTCTTTCTGCTGCTCTCATTTAAAGCCCTGGAGGCTCACGGATGACTGGGGGGTGGAGGGTATTGCTTCCCACGGGGGATTTGTGGCATCAGCGGCAGCAAGAGGAAAAGAGGTGTTAAAGAAGACAGAGATGTTAAATTAAAGCATGTGAGGGTGGTGCAGAGCAGGGGGCTGAGACTGGTGAGAGATCCCATCAATAATTAACATTTTGATGTGCGGTCTCCTCGTTCAAGGAGAGATGGAGCAGCATCCCGCTCCCTGGGGCATCTCGGGAACACACAGCCCAAATATTTTGAAGGCATTCCAGAAGCGGGAAGGTGAAAAATTATTCCCCCAAACTCCCAACTGGGAACCTGAATGAATGGGTTGGATGTGCTAAATCTGACTGTAGGTGTGTGGAGGCACCTTCAGAATCCCTGCACCTGCCCAAGCTTCCCGTCCTGTGCCCACAGGATCTGCCCCTCTCCAGCCCCCAGCTCCTCTGCACCCCCAGCACCGACGTTACTGCCACAATATTCAATATTTTTTTTGAAATTTACAGCCAAACTGGGCGTATTTTTCCAAAATCAGAAGAGCCGCTTTCCAAAATCAGGGCTTATCCCTCTCCGGGAATGATCTTTCGTTTATCAGCCTCCTTCTGCCAGGTTTTTCCACCCTGATGTCATTTTAACCCTTGTTTCTTGCTGCTTTAACTGGTCACGAGAGCATCCCTGGAAGGGAAAAGCAGGTCCATGGAATTTGCCTTGGACAAGAGGGATGGCACTGCAGGAACCGGGGCTCATCCAGCCTCTGGATGCCAGAAAATGAGGATGCAAAAACTCCCAGGTGGAAGCAGGGGCAGAGGACCATAGGGGTGGCTGCCAGCTCAGCCAGAGACACCCTTGTTTGGGGATATTCCCTTGGATTTGGGATTCCTCGGGGGAGGAAGGGCGTGGTGCAGCAGCAGATGGCCGGTGGTTCACATGTGCTGTCACCCGGTGAGGGCACCTGGGAGGGATCTTGCCACGGCTTGGATGGGTTTTTTGCGGCTTGGAGAGCTTCTTGAAGAAGGAAAAGGGAAAAGCTGGAGTGCAAGTGAATGGCTGGGCTTGTCCTTCCCTGGAGTGGGTGTCAGGAACAGCAGCCCAGCAGCTGGATCCCCCACATCTGCTCCGTGGGCAGTGGGGCAAAGTGTTACTGCAGCAGGGTGGGAGATTCCCACCTGATGGAACAAGATGGCTGGAGGCTCTGCCTGAACCTCCACCAGCCCCTGTCCTCCTTCCCACAGGTTGGGATCATCCCTGGTGCGAATCAGGGCTTGCTCCGGGTCAACCCCTCAGTTTTCCATCTGGAAAATGGGAGAGGTGACACCTCCGGTGTCTCATACCTGGGATGAGGCATCTCCTGGATGTCAGGGATTTTGGAGCAGGGAGAGATGGTGGGTGTGAGTGCAATGGCCAGACACCCCTGACCCCAAAATGCCTCCCAGCTCCTCCATCTCTAATTCCCTCCGTCTCCCCACAGCACCATCTGGTACGAGCTGCACGCGCGGGAATGGCCCTTCAAGACGCAGCCGGCGGAGGCAATCATCTGGCAGGTGGGAAGAGGGATGAAGCCCAACCTCAGCCAGATCGGCATGGGCAAGGAGATCTCGGTAGGTGTTGTGGGGGAGGCGCTGCAGCACCGTGTGTGGGTGTGGAGAGGGGCTGGGGCACGTCCCGCCTGCTGGGCCCCGTGAATCTGCACAGGGATGTGGTGATGGAGATGGGGTCCCTGTGGTGTGGATGTTGGGCACGGGGATCATGGTGGGAGAGGGCCTGGCTGGGTTTGCTCTCACACCCACCCTGTGTGGCTGCAGGACATCCTCCTCTTCTGCTGGGCCTACGAGCAGGAGGAGAGACCCACCTTCACCAAGCTCATGGACATGCTGGAGAAACTGCCAAAGCGCAACCGTCGCCTCTCCCACCCTGGGCACTTCTGGAAGTCGGCAGAGTAAGTCCCTGTCCCTGCCTGTCCTTCCCTGTTCCCAGATTTAACTGTTGGGAGGATGCCCTGCCTGGAGGTCCCTCCTCAGACCTTCCAGCGTGGTCTCTTCTTCTCCCATGGCCAAGTCCTGCTCTGTTCCATCACTTCGGCTTAGTCACATCCCTCCGCTTCAGGGAACGCCATGAACGAGTCCCCAGTCAGGGATTCGGGATCTGCCCTGTTGGAAACAGCAGGAAAACCGCAGAACAATCACTTAGAAGCTCATTTTCTTCCCTCGAATTTGTCATATTGTGACAAACAGAACCAAAAGTCTCACCCACGCAGGGCTTGCATTCACAGGGGGGGTTTTTTTCTTTCTCCCGACGTGCATCCCCGGACTGTGGAGGCTGGAAATGGGGATGGAGGGAGGGAAAGATGTGAGCTGAGGGAGAGGATGCTCCAGGCATCCCTCTTGGCCCTCACTGAAGGTTGGAGATGCTCATTTCTCCTGCTGCATCTGATAAGAACCTTCCTCGCTGCCTTATCTGTGCAGTGAACGTGGGCAGCCCCAAGGTTACAGGCACGCTGGAGTGTCCCCTGTGCCACCTCCTGTCCCCACACGGGGCTGAGCAGCACAAAGCCCTCGGTCAGATGGTCCCCAGATCACTCTGAACACAAGCCATTAATCAGGGGGGGAGATTAATTACCAATCCATGCTCAGAGCAGGCACCGGGGTGACTCTGGCAGCTGGACAAGGAAAGCTGAAGGTTGATGGCCCCCAAAGCAGCAGGTTGTGGAATTGCTCTGTTGGGTTGGGGAAGGTTTTTGTGATCACCTGCCATGGGCTGTGGCTGCCCTGCAGCTCCCTCTTAATTACCAGCCCCCTCTTAATTACCAGCCTCCTCTTTTGCTAAGCACAAACAGGGGGAGGATGTCTCAGCTCAGCACTCGTTTTCCATCCGAGCTGATTCCTTCCACAGGGACTCAGCTCTGGCTGTTGATCCTGGTCTTGGCTTCCCTGTGGGGTCCCTGCTCACCCAACAACTCTGTCATCCCTGCACAAAACCCCCTCAGGGGTCCTGGATGCCCAGGGATGGGGGTGAGATGTGTGGAATCCCACAACCCCCCCTAGATGATGCACCAGGGGAACCCAACCCGGGCTGGCAGAGGGCAGAAGTTCACAGAATCCCAGAATCAGTGAGGTTGGAAAAGCCCTCTGAGATCATCGAGTCCAACCTGTGACCCAACCCCACCGTGTCACCCAGCCCGTGGCGCTGATGCCACACCCAGTCTGTCCCTAAACACCCCCAGGGACGGTGACTCCACCCCCTCCTGGGCAGCTCCTTCCAGTGTCTGATCACTCTCTCCGGCAAGAACTTCCTGATGTCCAACCTGATCCTCCCCAGGCGCAGCTTCAGACTGTGCCACCTTTTTGGGAGAGGGCAGATCCCTCCAAACCTGTTTTAGGAGTTGGGTTTTTTTGCCGTGAGCTGCCCTACAAACCCCGCGGTGCCGAAGCCAGCCCCAAGTTGTTGACTCTGCTCCTTGTGTCCCTCGCAGGCTGTGACGGGAGGAGTCGAGGGACGGTGCCTTCCTCCCCCAGCAGTTCTCCTCTTCCTCTCCGCGTCCCACCCTGTGCCGCGGACGAGCAGCGGGCGCCGGGGGCCGACAGCGAGACGGGAATGAGAGACGGGAGTGAGACGGGAATGAGACTCTTCCCCCGCACGTTTCACCCCGGGAAGCCTCTGCAAGGGCTGGAGGAGCCGGAGCGGCGGCCGAGCCCCGGCAATGCCGGGCTGTGGTGGGATAGGCACAGGGGGCGGCTCCCCGTGCACACGGGGTCTCACCGAGGCAAACCACTTCAATTTTGGGCTCCTCTGACCCCAACCAGCGCACACGATGCTCGGTTGGGGGACGGCTTGCTCTTGGTTCTCTGTGGGTTTATTTAATTTAATTTCCCTTATTTATTGCCTTTTTTTTTCTTTTTTCTTTTTTTTTTTTTTTTTTTTTTTTTTTTTAATTGAAAAAAGGGGGAATGTTGCTGATTTCCCGAGCTCAGCACCGGAGCCTGCCAGGCCGGGGAGTGCCACTGCTTTTAGCTGCACCCCCCGTGGGGAAATGCATCTGGAGGAGCCCTGCTCCCCACCCCCAGCCCCTCGTGGGCAGCCGTGACCTTTCACAAGTGGCTTCTCTACCTCCCAGCCGTGTCCACTTACGTTTCCCCCCGCGGGTCTCCCTCCCAGCAGGACACATCTCCGCATTCCCGCTCATTTATCCACCTACCCCCGTGTGTGTCTCATCAGCCAGCCCTGACCTCTCGCCCTCCCCGCCTCTGCTCCACTCTCAGCTCCGAAATTCCGGGTTTGGGGGTGCAGAGGGGCTGAGCAGAGCTGGGGTTGGCTCCATTCCCCTCTCCCATGGCCTTCCCTCCGTTGCTGGGGCTGAGAATGCCAACAGGCTCTGGTTGTACAGAGCGTCTCCCCTCCCGGCCCCACGCGTGGGACAATCCCGGCTGAACAATCCCAGCGCCGTTTTCCCCTGCATATTCACCCCACACCTGCCAGATCCCAGCCCTTCCCGAAGAAAGGCTCCTTGGGCAGCAGCTCGGAGCTGGTGTTGCCACCTGAGCACCATGTGCTGGTATTTCCCTCTCCCACCAGCTCGGGTGGACCCTCCAGCCCGTCAGATGAGCTGTTGAGCGACAGACGATGGCAAATTGCGTTTCCAGGCCCTTTATTGAGCGTAACTGCTTGACAGGAACCATCCTGGATAATTCAGTTGGAGCTTCAGATAGCTTTAATTCAGAGACACGACGAGGCTGTGCGAACTAACCAGCCCTGGTTGGTTTGCTGCTCCTCCAGCTCTTCCTTGCTGGTGTCTGAACCACTTCAGCATAAGTAAAAGGAGATTAGGAACTAATTGGAGCTGGGATGAGACGGCACTTTAATTGTGGGGGCGGGCACGAAGGTGCTTTGATGTCTTAAAATTCCCCCACGTGCTGATGTGTGAAATCTGAGGTGGGCAGGAGCAGAGGGGACAAGTCCAGCCCTCAGCGGGGCAGAGGGTGGGTCTGGAGGAGCCTCCTGCTGATGCTTTTGGGACATGTGCAGTCACATCTCGCTCTTGGATGTTGTGCAAGGAGCTGGGATGAGGCAGGATCGCCTCCTTCTGCCTTTGGTGCTGAGGCCAAGTGGGATGAGCAAGTGAGGGCAGGATGAGCCCTTTTTTGGGCTGACTGCCCCCTGCTCCAGCAGCACAGGCGGTTTGGGGTCCCTGAGTGAGGAGCATCCCCTCCTCCCATTGATGCAGGAGGATGCTCTGTGGCTGTTCACCCTCTGCCTCCTCCACATCCCGCTCTTTCCCTTGCTAACAGCACCCCCCCATCTTCATCCCACCCCAGCCACAGCACCAATGCCCTCTGTCATCCATCCTCCCCACCCCAACCCCTCCCTGCTCTGTGCGTGTCCGCACTCGTGCCATAAACGTTGCACTAAAGCCTCAGAGTCTCTCTGAGTTTTCACCAATGCCTTCACCTGTGGTGGTCCTGAGCTCTGGGGGAGGGAGAACACCCCCCTTGCCAGAGGTTTTGGCTGCCAGGGGGTCACGGGGAGGTCTCACCGTGAAATCACCGGGCCCCAAAGCACGTTGAGATGGAGGGGTCGCTGGAGAAAGGGGGTGGTGTCCTTGTGACTCACTGGGTTTAGTTTCTGAGCAGGGCTGAACTTCCTTGGTGAGGGGAAGGTGTTGGAAGGATGAAGGAGGTGATGCCATGGGTGCTGCTCATCACCAGGGGTGGCAGAGTGCTGTGGCCTGAGGGATGTGCAGGTTTGTGGTGGAAGGGACAGTGTCCATCCTGAAGGGCTTGCTGTGGGTTTGCTCACCTGGTCTGGAAAGCCTCCCCTTGACACATCCCCCCGTGGGCTCCCCAGCTGCTGACAGGCACCTGATGGATTTTATGGGCCAAGAGTCAACAAAACCAGTGAACTGAGGAGTGTGTTGGTTCCCCCATGGTGTCAGGTCCTCACAGGGCTCACAGGGCTCTGCTGCTGCCTTTGTTAGATCACAGAACCATGGAATGGTTTGGGTTGGAAGGGACCTTAAAGGTGACCTTATTCCACCCCCTGCCATGGGCAGGGATACCTTGCACTAGCCCAGGTTGCTCCAACACGGCCTGGAACACTCCCAGGGAAGTGGCATCCACATTCTGTGGGCAACCTGTGCCAGGGCCTCCCCACCCTCTCCCCAACCTGCTCTCTTTTAGTTTAAACCCATTCCCTCTTGTCCATTCTTTTCACCACTGGATTTTGGGCAGCTGAAAGGAGCTAAGTTCTCCTCTAGCCAACAAAAGGCACCAAATCTTCCCCCTTCCCACCCTCTTTGTCCCCCTCTTCCCTCACCGTGGTGTGTCAGCCAGGTTACGAGCAGAGCTGTCACACAACAGCATGGATGGCAAAACAGCTGCCCTGCATTTACCACAAATCAGCTCAGAAGGGCAGCTCCTTCCCTTCCACTCTGTCCAGCAGTGGTGGTTCAGGCAGCAGTGTTACCTGCATCATGCCTTCTTATTTTTGAAAGACTTAATTATTAAAAAAGCCCCACAAACCACCGAACCAACAAATCTTACTTTTTGGTGGTGGTGGTTGTTGTTCTTTGTTTTTTTTGACTTTGGCTTTGTAAGGGTGTTTGTTTTTTTCTTTCTCCCAGTTTAAAAATATCCAGCCCTTCAGCAGGGGAGAGAATGTGGGAGAAGCTCTCCACAAAGCCCTCTAAAAGGAGATCCCAAGGAGGGAGGAGGTCCATCCTGTGGCTTGGCTTAGCTGTGTGAGCTACAGGAGAAACAGGGCTATTTCCAGAAGTGCCAAATGAAAGCAGAGCTGGTTTGAGCAGCACTTGAGACACCAGAACCAGGCCCATCCTCAGGGTCTGTCCCCAGGCTCTTGCAGCAGAGATGTTCTCCTGACCCAATCCTCCAGCTCTCAGCGGCTTCACCCTTTCAGTCCCCTTCCAAGGCTCCCAGAGATCCCAATCCTT